CACTTCCATTGTTACTTAACACTTCCATTGTTACTTAGCACTTCCATTGTTACTTAGCACTTCCATTGTTGATGGAAGTGTTTAGCCTTAATCCTGTCCCTCTCCCCCGTGGGAAGGAATTTCGAAAAATCCCTTCTTAGTGTGTGTTCTCCTAACATACCCTAACTGTGTACCAAATTTCAACTTTCAACTCCTGTTTGGGCTCGTATCCATAATGTATATAGAAGTTTTAATCCTGTCTCTCTCTCCCCGGGGGGAATTTCGAAAAATCCCTTCTCAGTGCGCGTTTTCGTGACGTACAGTACCCTATCTGTGTACCAAATTTCAACTTTCAACTCCTAACCGTTTGGGTTCTGCGCTGATTATTATTATCAACCCGTCTTGATTATATATTAGATAATGTAAGGATGGATAATCAGTGGCTAAGTGGCTATCAGTCTTACTAGTTTTCTTATATAGGCTCTACATATCAGTCTGTAGTTATTTATAAGAAATTTAACCACTTATAGAATAAAAGTTAAATACTCTTACTTAATAGAATTAGAGAAGAAGTTATAAAATATCAGTCTTGTCTTGAATAAAGTATTTTAAAGGATTAAATAAAATTAAATCAATCACTTATTTTTTCGTGTTATTTTTTTATTTCATATTATTTTTTTTATCATCAAATATGTTTTTGTTATCAAATATTTCTTTGTCATTTAACATGTTATCATGTTATTTTTTTGACTTTTCTTTTCAGTGCATTAAGAAGTAGGATCTCAAAAAACAAATAGTATGAATGGTGTTGTCTCCCAACCTACTTCTTAATGCATTTATATGCATTAAGAAGTAGGCATATATATCCCGCTGCAGAGAAGGCCCTTTCAGCCTCTACGCTAGTTGTTTTCAGGGTCATCAAATAATTATAAATCAAAGATAAGTTTTCACCTCTGACTCCCTCATTTTCATAAACAGCCATTTCCTTTTTTAATAACTTATCATAATTCCTTCTCAGTACTAGTTTCTTTCTGTTTCATGAAGTTTTCTTTTTCACGCTTTAGTTGGATCTCCAATTCTTGTTCCAAGGTGAAATTCAGGGAATACGGGTTATCTGGATCATCGCTTTCCACCTCCATAATCTCCTCTGCCATTGCTGCTGGTTCCACTATATATGTATTTACGTGATTCACTAAACTAACCAAGTTTGATCCAAATCATTACAGCCATTTTTGTGGTAAATAATTCAATTTTCATTTAAGATCATGTAGCGTGTCACAGACGCCCCTGGCATTTTTTTAGTCGCAATTTTTCTGAAATTTTTCAAAAAATTTTAAAAAATTCAAATTCTCTAATTTCTTCGAGCTGCGAAAAATGAAATAAATAACGTTTTTATTGCGCACCGAGTTTATTCAGGAAAAAAAGGCGAAAAAGTGCCGGTGTCTCTCAGCTGAAGCGGCGATCCGTCACGTGATTCATTGACGTCACAACCGACCGTAAATTAGAATTATGCACCAGGACTAGGAGAGGATGTTACTTATTTTATTTAGCGCGAAGACACTTTATTTAGCGAGAGCGAAAAGTCAACTGTCAATTAGATCAGCAGAGGTAAAAAGACGGGTGGTGCGGTGTGGAGAGGGAGTGTAGCACGTGCTGCACTGAATGGCAACGTCGCTCTCGCCGCCGAGCGATAGCGCACTTAGCAAAGCGGCAACGCTGACAACGTAGACTTTTGCACCATTATTTAGAAAGTTAATTGCGTATTTGCGGATCCAGCAGGCCGAAAAATGCGCTGGATCCAGCAGGCCGAAAAATGCGCTGGATCCAGCAGGCCGAAAAATGCACTGGATCCAGCAGGCCGAAAAATGCGCTGGATCCAGCAATTGTAATCCCTAGTCCCCATCTCTAACTGAACTCACTTTTCTCTCGTTGGGGCTTTCCTTTTAAACCCTTTCAGCATGAGAAAGTCATCATCGGGTGATGACTCATTGGCAGTGTCATCATTGTAGCTGAGACAGTGTTTTCTTATTTGGGGATGACTTGCAGCTTTCTTAGAGTCATCTTCTGAGTCGACATGACTCATCTTTGTTCTTAGTCATTGGTTGTTCATTGCTTGCTTTGACTAAGTTCTTCATGTAAACATTGCCGAAAACAAAGGGGGATGCAATGTTCCTCATTTCTATATAATTTTTGATTATTTGGTTGCTTTTTCCTCTTTTCTTTGGCATGTTGTGAGATTT